CCATTCTCACTTAATCTATGGTTGATACTCTTGATTTGCCTTGTTTATGCTGCTGTTTTACTTTGTATATTAGAACGACCGAATAATGAAGCGTTGCAAAATAGATCAATAACATCATCTAGTGGAATGAGTATGTGGTATTCTATTGGTACTATTATGGGATATGGTGCAGATTTTCATGTTCAAACAGCTGCCGGACGATTATTAACTATAGGTTTATATCTCTTAAGTCTGGTATTAATGGCAACATATACTGCAAATTTAGCATCTGATTTGACAATATCAAAATCAAAGGATACTATTTCTGGCATTGATGATATCAAAAATGGAAAGATACCATTTAGTCGTATTGGTATTCTTGTAGAATCATCACAGGAAGATTATTATTTACGTGAAATTTCTGAAGGTGTTCGTAATTATTATCCATTGAAAACACAAGATGAATTGTATAGCAGTTTATTAAATAATTTAGTTGATGCATCGATTTTGGATACTAGTGCTATAGAATATTATACTAATAATATATATTTTAATTTAACATTTGTCGAGAAAGATTTTGCCCCGAGTTCATATGGTATTGCTTATCCTAAACAATGGTTATATGGAAAAGATTTAGATGTCATTATATTATCGTTAAGAGAATCAGGTGTTCTTGATGATTTAAAAGAGAAATGGTTTGATAAAAACGTTTGTCAACATTCATCTTCATCTTATGTATCTACTAGTATTAAACTGGAAGAAATGAGTGGCTTATTTGTTACTTTTGGTCTTATCAGTATTCTATCGTTAGTATTATTTACATCGAAAAAAATAATTTGTTATATAAGATTATCTAAGAAGATCAGTACGTTGAAAGAATTCTTTAATTCAACAGCAAGTCAATGAAACAACAGATCCAATGAAAATTTTGTCTAAATGTACATCAAATTCTCAAGTATCTTTGCTCTATACTACAAAACTGTAATTGCAAAACTATCTTTATCAGAATTACTTGCAAATCATTTTTTTGCTTTTAGAATTCATTATAACAATTAATAAAAGATGAGAAGAATTTTCTAAAAAATGTATTTTCATATAATTTGTGTCGTTGATAACTAAAGACTAGAACTCTACTCGAGGGTGGGTGTGGGTGCAATTCTCCTTTGCAAGAAAGCGACACTCATATACCCATACCCTCTAAAAGATTTCTTCAGAAAGTGAATTAATCATCGAAACGATACAAAAAAGAAAGATACTGATTTCTTTATCCGTTTACACATTCATTGTAAATATATAGAAATCAAATGAAAGAATTAAAGATTATATTCAACGAACTTACCTTCTTGCATAAATTGTATCAATGGCGAAGAATTCAAATGATGAACAGTTTTCACGAACGAATTCTAAAAAAACAAAAAGATATTGAAAGAATATTATTAAATTTTTTTGGAAAATAGATCATATCAATAAAAATAGAGCAAACAAAAATTCAACTTGAATTAACAATATGCTTTTCGACTGAGACTATGTTCATTTAATGAGTAAGAGAAAATGTTTAGAATGATTTGGATTTCATTGTTTTTTAACCGAAAACTGTAGTCCTACTCAGGTGACATACAAAATCGATGTTCGAATTCAAATTTTGCATGACTCGTTAAGAATTTTGTTCCCGCTAAGTTTCAAGTCGAAATTCTATTTTTCAGATGACCTGAGAAGGACCACATTCTTTTATACTGAAACATCCAGTAAAATTTCTATTTATGGACAACGAAGGTTCGAAACGAGAACAATTCGTCAATCAACTTTTCATATTCTCATCTGACGTATGTTCGTTGATCAGTGGAGAAATTCCTCATAGAATTTTATTCAAAAATTTGATCGTATCTTTTTAATATTTGAACTAAAAAGGCAAGAAAATTTTGATGATGTGTTGAATAATGTTCGGTGATCAACTGTATTGAGGAATTATATGGAACATTTAATTATTTCCTCCTTTCACAGATTGTGAGTGTCCAAAATGAAAAAAAAGAAAGTTTTACGATGGCTTAACTTTAAGCCTTTTTGGTTGGGTGGGTGTGGGTGTGAGTATGAGTGCTGGATTTGGATATCAATCTTGTGATCACTCACATCAATACCCACACCAAAATCTTCGACATTTAACTGTTCAAGTTGATCGAATACCTAACAATCAACAATTTCCATTTGTAATCCAATCGATGTCGTCATTGAAACTCATAGTCAATCAGTTGACTAATGGAGCGATTAATTTACTCAAAAATATGTCTAATTTAACTCTTTTAACTCTTCAAACTAGAAAGCATAATATGAATGGTCATTGATTAGAACAATTTATTATTGATTATTTACCAAAATTGAAAACATTTCAATTTTTGATGTTGATACAGGAGAAGAATTGAATGAAATTATCGATTCTTGTCCGACTTTATTTTGGCTCATTCATCATCAATGGTTTGTACGATGCTACTTTAACTTAACAAGGAACTACATCACAGTTCTTTTTTTTTTTACTTTACCATATCCTCTCTCATCCTTCAATTACGATATATGGGAATCAACTCCTGTTACAATATCAACATATCTCAATTAAAATGATTATTTGTGTTATAATCATGCTACTAAATTGATATGTTCGGATTTGTCATTTAATGATTGGTTATTATCTCATATTCGTTTTCAGAATATTCACAATCTTGAAGTGTCAATTTCTTATTCGGATCTATTGTTGTCCATACTTTCACGAATGGATCGATTGACTTCTCTCCATGTAAGAAGTAATTCAAACGTCAATGATAAAAATTGTTTTGTTACAATTAAATGATTTAATTAATAAAGCACCTTGTCTTCATTCACTAATTATTAATAATTGGAATCCATCGGCTATTCAAGATTTACCATGACATATTATCAGTAATTCAATTCGTCGACTTGATTTACAGAATGGACATTGTCTAAAACGTGATCGGTGCTTCAATAGTGAACAGTGTGCAGCATTTCTTCGTTCATCATGGGCCAAACAATGCGAAATTCTTGAAATTGTTGTTAATGATCAATCGATGATAGATGATCTAGTCAATGATATAACCAATTTAAAAGCTTTAAAAGTGATGTTACAACCCGGTCGGTGGGATGATCATTTTCCGAGCAGAGAAGAAATGATTAGATGGATGGCATCGCAATATTCACGAACTTTCGCCAAGAACATAATTGATACTGAAACTATGCGATTTTGGATTTGCTGATAAACTATGTAAATGTAAATGAACTAAAATTGTTTTACTTATATATATATATTTGAACTTGAAATTATGAATAAAATTTTGATTGAAATTGATTATTTTCAAATTAGATGAAGCATGATCGGTTATAATGAATAGTTTCATTTTCCAATGCTTTACATATGATAATTATTTAATTTCTGTTTTAGAAATTATGTGGTGTTTTAACGATTAAAATGTATTGGAAATATTCATCATTAATGTATTTTCAATAAATGAAACTAAAAAAGCTTTTTAAGCCATATCCTCCTGTGTAGAATACGATAGATCTCGAGAGAGAAAATGAATATCAATATGAGAAAAATAATAAAAAAGCGGTCATGGGGGTGACCAATGGGGGGATTCCGTGGTAGTGATAACCCATTAGCCTTCGGACCGCATTGTGTTTCTGTATAAATCT